TGAATGTATATATTTTAATGATTACATCATATATTTGCAGTACATATTTTACATATTCTTCGATGTTTGAAAATTGTTTTATAAGCATATATAATTTCACTTAACCTCAATTACAACATAAAGGACTGATATACATAATGTATATTTATTTCAGAAAAACAAACTCAAAAAAGGTCATCGAAAAAAAATGACCTTGAGAACAAATTGACGTTAATGATACCAAACCGAATATTGCAACGTTGCATTATTTCACATTGTTAACAGATGTTAAAGCGATATACTGAAGTGTAATTAAACGGAAAATTTATCTTCAGCATAATAAGTGTATTTAGATATTTGTACTCTATAGATAGAGAAGATCCTGTTTATAAAGTAAGAGGATGACGCAATTTTAATTAATGTATTGCCCATCTGTCAAAAACATATTCGCGTTATCAACCTACTCTCACACTTAAAGATTCCTTTTTGAGTGCATATACGTAAAAGTGCTAAGTGGAATGTTTGAGAGGGCATAACAGGCGGCCATGATCATAATAAAAGATAGAGCATAAGCAATTTACCTTCCCACGTACCATTTAAACAATATTAAAATACAATCAAACATAATAAGAAATACTTAATAACGTTATTGCAGCAACCTATTTCTATAATAATTATCATACACCAGACTTTAGTAGCGTCACAAAGTCAATAGATATAAATTCTATACGACTGTATCCTGTTTATAAAAAAGAATTCGCATCATATTGTCTAAATTCACTGTTATCATTAACACCATTTTGAGCCCATCTAGAATGTGTATTTATTATTAATTAAGGAAAAAGAACCTTCTAAATTTAGAATTATTTAACTTGGATCTAACGTTTTATTCGTAATGCCGTACGAAGGTGGGAGGTCTGGGGTTCGTAATCCCGTCAAGATAACTTAAATCATTTTGTGTCTTTTTTAAGTGGTATGTATGGTGGCTGATTTATGCCATTCGTGTTTTCACCCGCGACACCGCGAAGCGAAAAATCGAGAATGGCGGAGGCGAAAAGCAAAATGTCGCTAATTATTACGGGGCGCACATTCTTAGTTGCACAGTACATAGCGATAGGCCTGAGATTAAAGATCGGTATATAAATAATCATTTATTTGCAGAAATATGGTTTTGAAGTAAGTCTCAGGGTGAAAATGAGTTTAAGGACAATTAAGTATTAAAAAGTAATACATACGAGTTTAATTTCAGAAGTTTTTAAATAAACAAGTAAGATATTAATTGCATTTCAAATAAAAGACAAGGAAATCTCGAAGAAAACGAATCTATATATTTGATTTAATTTGGTTATCCAGAAATAAACATAATTTGTTTTTTAACAGGCAAAGACGCCAGAGGAAGATTATTAAGGAATCAGCTCGGTGCATGTTACAATTTAACAAATATATATATATACGTTGGTATATGTAATATAGGTACGATTGCATACTAACTTCTTTGAAGAATTTTTATGCTTGCTGCATGAAAGGTGTAATGTAAAATGAACAAACATGTCATCACATCAACATTTTCTTGTAATGTAATAAATGTATCCTTATATTAAAGTTGCATACCTACAGATGAGAAAAATGACTTCAAGAAAATCAAAATATAAAAAAGAAACAAGTATGCAAGGCTTTAAAACAAAATTACAAAATTGCATATTTTCCACTGAACAGACCATATGAAAATCGTGCAAACCCACAGAAATAGAACTAGACACACTTGTTGGTTTGTCCAAGTATGAATCCTTTCAATGAATGGATGACAATGTTAAGAAAATATAATCAAATTCAATAAATAAATGGTCAAGGTCAAAGCCATATCTAAATTATACAACATGTCTGTTTGAACACAAGTTTTGTTTTGTCCGCATATGAATAATGTCCGTATATGAATAACAAAATCATGACAACTTTACCAAAATTCAATACTTTGACCTTGGCTGTCAAAGTCATTAAGAAATCAAGGTCAGTTCAACCTATGAGAATGTCTTGTTCAAAAGGTTTTTTGTCCAAGTATGAAAAATATCCATTGATTAATACCAAAGTTACAGCCAATTATAGCGATAATCAGTGAAAATAAAATAATATGACATTCAAAGTCAAGGTCATACATGAGTCTTTGATATACGTGAAGGTCCTGACCTAAAAGATGTATCTTAATATGAAGTTAATCCATTTTCATAAATTCAGTTACAAAAAACGTCGAGGTCAATTTAAGGTCAAGGTCATCAATGAATCTGTTTGGTTGGAAGTTTGATTTTGTCAAAATTTATTTCATATCTGTACATAAATAACAAAATTATGACGATTTTACCAAAATTTAATAATATGACCTTGGCAGTCAATGTCATTTAAGCTCAATGTCAAGGTCTTGTCCAAAATGTTGTTTTGTCAAAATATGAAGTTAATCTATTTATAAATAATCAAGTTACAGTCAATTATAGCAAAACTCAATGGAAATACAATAATTTAACAGTCAAGGTCAAGGTCATAAAATAGCCAGGGAAAATTTGAGTTAAAAATTCACGAATGTCTTATCCTAAAGAATATTCTGTTATTATACGAAGACACTCCATTGAATAATAAAAAAGTTATAGCCAGTTACAGTAAAAAAATGGAAATTTTTAAATCATTTAACCTTCAAATTCAAGGTCATTTATGATTTAAGGTCAATATCTTCTGCTAAACTCGAAGGACTATCGAAAAAGATTATTATGTTATTATATACAAGTTCGAAGAATATCCATTCAAAAATAACAAAGTTATAGACACAAGTAGCAAAAATTAAGTAAAGGACATTTGACCTATAAGGTCAAGATCATTTATGGATGAAGGTCAAGGTTAGTTTGGTCTACTGAAAGGTCTTGTTCCAAGAGTTGTTGTGGCCAAGTATCTAGACAATACATCAAGAACTTAAAAAGTTATGATCAACATACAAGTTTGTGGACGGCAACGCCCAACATGACTGCAACAATACGTCGAGAATAAATTGTATTTCCTATGCAGACTATATTTATAATACCTGCGCTAAGTCGCAGTGGTGCTTGGGATAATCACGTGATACTGTAAACGGCAACCATTTTAGATACGAAAATGCTTGGCCCTCCTCGGACAGTTTCTTCTGTCGAAAATATAATTATTAGCATTTCCAAAAATGATTGGAATCGCCGTTCTGCCAAATAGAAATAATATTTCATAACTTGCCTGATACCTTTATTGTATGTGTTGGTCACATTCCTTTTTTATTTTGTGTTATCAAATCAGAATTAGCTTATGTTATCTTATTATTGTTTTGTTTATGTACATTTACATTTAATGTACTGATATTTATTTTATGTAATTGTATGCATGAGAAGGCCCATAAAGTACTTGATTAACTCTGCCATTCCATTCTCGTCAAACTATTTTGACGTGCTCAGTTAGATTCTGAGATTTTTTTTGTTCTGAATCAGTATGTAGGAGATATTGCCCATAAGAAAAATATCACAATAACTTTACGCGTTGTACAATTAGTTAGACTGCATGCGCTATTTAATTAGTGCATCAATCAGCAAAACGAATTAGCTTCTTGCGTAATTCACAACAGATTAAAATTGATGTCTGTGAATAATGGAATTTACGTTCTATACACCGTATACTACTTTCATATGAAAAGCAGCAAACATTATTGCAATTTCCTATTATTTATCCAACAAGAGCCCGAATACTGGTACTGAGTTCGTTCATCGATAATGGTATTTTTCAGTTGTACGAATAAGTAATCCGGCCAACATTGACTGGACGAGTCCATTTATGCATCCCTCGTTTTTGACGTCCATTTTGTTGTCATGTGATATTAAATTATTCCTTTTGATTGGCTGAAGGAAGGAGATGCACATGTATAACTGTTCAAATCTTGATCATTATATATATATATATATATATATATATATATATATATATATATATATATATATATATATATATATATATATATATATATATATATATATATATATATCCGTTCAAAACGGCGATATTTAATACTTGCAATTCAAAGTTTGTTTGCTACATGAAGATAATCGATTTACTCTATGCAGACTTTTTCTCTACCCGACTGTATGTTTATGTTTTTTAATTGGCTGAAACCGTCACGTGGTCAAAACACTGTAGGTGTGAACTTATTTCCTTTAAAATTATGCCTTTAATCGGACATGCTAGAACAACAATTTTATGCACAAATAAATTGGTAAAGTAATCCAAGAAGTATTTGAAATAATACAAATCATTGCAAATAATAAATGCGTATCCATTAATTGTAACTTTATGTATGACAACTCATTCCCTAAACATCAAAAAGAGAAAAAGTTATAAATGTTGTATTTACAAATGATCATTTTAGCCAAATTTTGAAACTCCGGGAACTTACTGTTGCTATTTAGCAGAAAAGAACAATTTTCTAATGCAATTTATTCGTTTCCTGATCAGATCCATGAGGAAAAGTCATTGCATTTTCATAAATTTGGCTGGCATTTTAACGTTTAAAATCCCAAGTGGCTGATTTAAAGTCAATATCCTTTTTTTAACTTTTAAAGTATGCTGTTTGTTAAAAAGTGATAACGTGACAATTGTCTAATTTGTAAAAAAAAAATCTGTTTAGTTCCATATAAAATATTGGTAAACATATATAAAACGAACAAGAAGTTTTGCAAAGTACATATAAAGGCAATTCAATATAATGTAAAGAACAATCACCATTTTGTTCAGCAGGCAAAAGTTAAATTAATGTATACAAGTGGAAATGATATCTAACATAAAAGTGCATGAGCGATAAAAGAGTGATATTGGTGAAATGTATGAAATTTACTTTATTATATCCATGTAAATAACAGGAAACACTTACCTTAACGCATTTCCATCACAAATACAAAAAGGCGTTTTTGTCTACATTGCATTCTGACAAAAGTCAACTACGTACCGCATCTCAAACGAAAATCATTGGTCAGAAAGGTAAGGCGTTGCGTAGATAATAGTTGAGGATAGGATATAAAAGGGAAGACAAAGACGCTTTTTGCCGTGATCCAGAGTGAAAGCTACAAACACCACCGCCATTAACCTGCAAAGACGTGAAAGCGTGTCTTGTATTAACAATGAATCGTAAGTAACTTAATTTATTACTTTAATGATATTTTAATTTGATTTGATACAAACTTGTAAGTTAAAAATACTTGTTATTGACCATTGGTAATTACTTGGAAACTTTCTTGGAATGCATTGTCATTTTGTCTCACGCAGACGAGTCTTTTTTGTGAAAATTTTTGTGAAAGACTTTGCTGATATGTGCTAAAATGATGCCTTCAAAATGGTTCTCAAAAGCAAAACGATTATTATCAATTTTAATTATAACTGGAATATTTTTTTTCTATAAACATTAATAGAGTAGTCCAGGGATAATTGTAATAGGTAAAAATGAACATTCTATACATAAAAGGAATAACATTTTAAAAGTAGTCACATTTCTATCAAACTGAGATAAAAACTAAAATCTTATGTACAATAAATGTAACAACATGTATGTATGAGAAATGTTTAATTTTGCCATAAGCTAAATGCATAAGCCAGTTTATTTATTTTTTTTTGATATATATATATGAACGAATACAGTAACTTATTCTTTCATATATATTCCTGGAAACATTTTAATGAGTTCTAAAATATAATGTCTCAGCCATAAGTTAAATGTATATATATCGTATCGAAATATATTCATAACATATACTTTATTGTCATTTCTGTTTTCTATCAGTCGTTATAAAAAGTATTACATTGAAAAACATCTCGTGTTATTTTGTCATTCTGTTTTCAATTTCAAACATGAATTCCTCTAGTAATATTGAACTATTCATATTAAAGGATTGTACGTTATACAAAGGTTGATGCAAGGATTGGAACAAGTAGGTTTTACAAGATATCGTGATGATGAAACATAAAATGCTCTAAACTATAAGGACAGTATAACCTATAAATATATTGTTAGATTATGAATTGTTGTTGTTTCTTACAGCCGCTGAATTCTTCTACGCCAGCTTAGATAAAGATGTGACTTATCTCAAAACTGGCCAACCAATTTTATTCAATTCAGTTATTGACCCAGGGAAATTGTATGACGAGAGACATGGTACGTTCAAGCCAAGACTTAGCGGATATTATTGCTTCACCTTTACAGTTGGTACAAAGAATACAAGTGAAGCAGCTGCAGTTCGTTTAGAAATAAGTACAAGAAAGGTCGCCACTGCCGTTACAGACATACCATCAGCCACGGCATCCCTTGTTATCTCACAAGCAAGCAATCAAGCAATCGTCTATATGAAGGACACGGATTTAGCAAGAGTCGTTATTGATCACCATGACACCGGACCGATTATTGGATTTGGTTATACAAACTTTTCAGGCTTTCTTATGAAAAATGATTAGATCACATTGCAAGACAACATGTTGAAATTTCGGGAATCGAAGGAAAAATGAATATTATCTCTCTGACTTTTAAAGCGCTTTGCTATGACATGTAAACTTTCCTTTCTATAAATACATCTGTTTCTATACAATATTGTAAGTTTTCTATATGCTTGCTGTTAGGATAGTGAAGTTGAACATTTTTAGACAATTGGTGACATAATGGTTTCAAACTTTTACCATCGCTGTATACTCGTGTGATCATAATCTTAATCATTGATTGAAAAAGGAGAAGAAACTGGTGTTTAACTGCAAATCTTTTGAAAACAACATACTTACTTTATGAATACTTTAGTGATTACTTGTTTTTGATACCAAAGATAATGAGAAAAATGTGTATTCTTTATGACTATTTAATTATTTCCAGTATTTATTTCTATCTGTCTATTGAATAAAAACTCTTAAAACTGTATGCTTTAGTTTTAATGTTATTTTTAAATAAATATTACCGAAATAAAATTCATCACAGGGGCCTGGCTAAGTCGTTGAAGGAAAAAAATCTTGAAAACACGTACATCAAATTATACAGATACATGTACTGTATGTATAGTCAAGTGGCAGAAAATGCCAAATAGGCTGAATAACTTTATTCTAGATTTCAAATTAATTCGAAAATAAAAATACTTAAAATCATCCAGCAAAGTATTATGAAAAATTAAGACTACTCTCAATATGGAAGAAACCGACATGCGAGTCGTGACATAGTGCGTTTGCGACCAGCATTGATCCAGACCAGCCTGCGCATCCGTGCATTCGATCAGGATCCATGCTGTTCGCTATCAGTTTCTCTACTTTTAATAGGGTTGGTAAGCGAACAGCATGGAACCTGATCAGACTGCGCGGATGCGCAGGCTGGTCTGGGTCCATGCTGGTCGCAAACGCACTATGTTGGTTTTGTCATAGCGCGGCTCATATATTATTATGTCCCGCTTTAAACTACTGCTATAAGGTCATTCCTTCGTTATAGCCGTACTGTATTCTCAAAACTGTGTATTTTTCATCGCCATTTACACATTTGACATTCATATGAGGGCATCTTTTTCCATATATTGCTACTTTGGTGCTATTTATTATCATTATGTTAGAATCGATAATACGATATAATATTAAAATCGATACTACGAAAGAAAGAAACTTGGAAGAAACAGAGTCACTCACAGGTGTCATCACATTTCAAGCCTTCTCCCTAATGATCAGGGGAAGTAACCGTTGCTGACACTTTAAACTTCAATCGCAATGTCTCTCGACGTCTCGTCCCTTTCAGTCAATCATCGGATAATTATGGTGGCTGATTTGGAACGTTTTTGTGCGTCGTGTTGGCACTAGCGACAATGGGACAAAGCGCCAAAACGGCGAGTTGTCGGACTTTCGTCTTGTCGTCCTGTCGCTAACGGTGTGCGCCAAACGGCGCGTTGTCGTGTGGCGTGTTGTTGCGATGTCACATTGTCGCTCGGTTTAAATCGAAGGATTGGCTTATAAACAAAGCGACAGGGCGACATCGCGCCGCACGACAACGCGCCGTTATGGTGTGCTTCGCTAGAGACAGGGCGACAAGACGACAGCGCGACAATTATCCTCATTTCGCGTACTACATTTCATAATGATTTACAACATTATTCAGGGATAAATACTTGGTTGATGCTCGTCATTATGCGATAATGGCCCAAAGATGTGCATATTGGCCAGAGAAAATGTTGTTACATGTATATTGTTGTTTTTATCGATAAATACAGTATCCTTCTCTTAACATTTTTGTGAAAATTACATTTAGATCAAGTGCCAGTTATTTATGAAGTTTTGTGCCTTCAATCTTGAACGGTTTCTGAGAATGATGTCTAGGTCTGAATGCCACCGATCCGCTCTCATTCCTACCGTCAATCTGAAATCATTTTTAGAATTTCTGAGGGTCATGTAATGTCTTTCGTGTATATAAATCTTTAATGTTAAGCTTTGTTGATTGTGATTAATAATGCCATTTAAACTTTAAAATATTTTGTGTGCAAGTGACTACAGCGCTGTATACAGTTCATTCAATGTAAGCAGCCATCTTGAAAGTCACTGAGAGTTGATTACGTCATCCTGCACGTGCGCTCATTCACTCGCCCATTATGGAAAAATAATGCCGAGTAACAAGGTGGCCAAAATTGCATATAATGACCTAGATCTTGCCATGCCCTGAAATACCCTAGATTTTGTAACTATATATAGTAACATAGGTATTAATGAATAATTAAAATCACTAAAACGTGCTGTGATTTAAGAGCGCAGAAAAACCGACTTTTGAGTTATCACCGGGACATTTGAAAAAACGGTTATAAATTTGTTAGCCGGGGCTTTATGTTTGCAATTTGCATTATAATTAGGTAATTATGTATGGCAAGGATGAAGACTAGAAATAAACCGGCCAATACTTGCGAAATGGCAAATAATTTTGAAATTTTACTCAAAACTACCAGATTTTAAGCAGGAAGCGATGAAAAATGGACTATGAATTAGTTTTTGACATATATAATACAAGATGTAAGGCAAACTTAATCATTAAAGTTTAAATTAGCACATAAAACTCACTTTTTCCAGATGAAAATTACCATTTTTGGCGAGTGTTTTTGTAGTTTATACAAAAGTTTTCCAAAGAACCCCGGGACAGTTATCACAAGAACTCCATGACAAGTTATCATAAGAACTCCATCCTTCGTGTAACAGTTCCTCCCCATTTAAAAGGGACGAATTTCTGTGACTGCGGGAAGCACAAGCATATACAAGAAAAGCATTGATGCAAAGCATCAAAGGTGATGCCAAAATATATTTGATCAAGAATTGCACCTCAATACTTAACAGAAGATGTGTACTTTATATCAGTACCATTAATACATGTGACATGGAGGCTATGACCCTGTTTAAGTTGAAACTTGAACCCAAAAGAATAGATTTTGCCTTTCCAAGATGCAAAGACAATTTATACCTATTAACCAATTATAAATAAGACTCATGCCATAGACAGAATGTCCTCAGATAAATTGTACCAGATACAAGAATACATGAGTCATCAGTAAAAGGTGATTGCTTATGGTTGCAGACATGTCATTGACATATATAAGACATAAAACAGGACATAAAATAGGTGAATGGAGCAGTAGTATAATGAGTAACAACCACATCCACCAGCTGATGTCTTTGAACAATATGAGAATGTCATTACATACGGCAAATGATTGAAGTTTCATGTGCAGAATAGTGTGATCAACTGTATCAAATGCTTTTTGGAAATCTAAAAGTATCTGATGTTTACAGAGCATACGGAATTAAACTCTGGGTTATATGCAGTCACAGGATGAGAAAATCGTGCAGCTAGACCAGAACACGAACCTGTGACCCACAACATCATGTAACGCGGCTGTAGCGATTGAGCTATCTGGCCGCTTACACATTTTCTCCCCTAAATTGTGAACAGTTCTAAACTGTGACAGATACTTTTAGATATTTTAATTAACAAGCAGATTAATTCTTAATAAATATAAATAAGAAAAAGAAAAAACTTACATACATAATCTGTACTCATAATCTTAATTAAAATAACACTTGATATATTGCATAATTATTTTTACTAAACAAGAGTGCCATGATGGCCCTGAAGTCGCTCACCTGTATATGACCCCCGAGGCGGGGCTAATTTAAACCCCGTGGCTTTTATTTGAACAAACTTGGTAGACTCCCATTAGAAGATGTTCCATGCTAAATATCTAAGCTCTAGCTCTTTGAGTTTTTAAAAGAAGATTACTACACACATATAGGGAAAAACAATGAGCTCCCCCCGGCCGGGGTCAATTTTTTTACCCTGGGCTCTTTTATTTGAACCTTTGTAGACACCCATTAGAAGATGTTTCATGCTAAATATCTAAGCTCTAGCACGTTGGGTTTTTAAAAGAAGATTTTTTAAGTTTTTATCACACACAATAGGGAAAAACAATGACCCCCTGGGGCAAGGCTTATTTTGACCTCGGGGCTTTTATTTGAACAAACTTAGTAGACACTCACTAGAAGACGTTTCATGCTTAATATCTAAACTTTAGCTATTTGAGTTTTTTAAAAGAAGATTTTTTAAGTTTTTGCTACACATATAAGGAAAATTAATGACCCCCAAGGTCAATTTTGACATCAGGACTCTTATTTGAACAAACTTGGCAGACACCCAATAGAAAATATTTCATGCAAAATATCTTAGCTCTAGCTCTTTGCGTTCTTTAAAAGAAGATTTTTTAATAAATACATATAGGGAAAATCAATGACCCCATGGGGCGGGTCCAATTTTGACCCCAGGGCCTTTATTTGAACAAACTTGATAGATACTCACCAGAAGATGTTTCATGTCAAATATCTAAGCGGACGAAAAGCGATCACAAAAGCTCATCCTGTCACTTTGTGACAGGTGAGCTAAAAATGGCTAAGACAGTTATTGTGGCATTATTTATATCCGGTCAATTTAAAAGGGAACATACTACTAATGCATGTACAATATCTTATTCTTTTTACAAATAAAAATCTGATAAGAATATTTATGGAGGCTGATTTGTGCCATGTCATATTTTGCATCAGGGGATATGTAAATACAACAAACAACTACTTTGTGAATTTTTCATGTTTTCATCTGGCGCCCGGTTACTTTTTGCAATTGTACTTTGGCAATTGTACTTTGTCGGTTTTCATGTGGCACAAATCAACCAATATAAAATTACGTGCACAAATTTATACAGTCCACTCTATGAAAAGTCTGTAGTTGGGTTGACTCTGCCCGAAACCTGGAGGTTGAGACCGGTATCCCTCCATTACAAAAAAGATAAAGCAGGAGCTGTCTACTAGCACAGAGTAGAATATATAATCTATATAGGCCTTTCTCAACATTACATACTTAACATTCCATCACCAGAGAGAGGCTTACAGGGCATGAATGTAAACACATAATGTCTGACCTACGGTGGCATAGAGGTGACATTTGCAGTTTTATTTTATCTCGTGGCCACGACTTATTATCTTGAGGCCTCAAGATATTATCTCGTGGCCACGACTTATTATCTTGTGGCCTCAAGATATTATCTCGTGGCCACGAGTTATTATCTTGTGGCCACGACTTATTATCTCGTGGCCACGACTTATTATCTTGTGGCCTCAATATATTATCTCATGGCCACGAGTTATTATCTTGTAGTCACGACTTATTATCTCGTGGCCACGAGTTATTATCTTGTGGCCTCAAGATATTATCTTGTGGCCTCAAGATATTATCTCGTGGCCACGAGTTATTATCTTGTGGCCACGACTTATCATCTCGTGACCACGACTTATTATATTGAGGCCACGACTTATTATCTCGTGGCCACGAGTTATTATCTTGTGGCCACGACTTATTTCAGCCAA